AAAACCCTTCAATGAGTTCTTCTTCTCCATCTCTCTTCTCTTCTCTTCTCTTCTCTTCTATTTTTTCTTTTATTTTCTGTTCAAATATGTAGTCTTGTACGACTACTAGTTTGGAGTGACTTATAGTTTAGACATCATCCAAGCGCTCGCCCGGGCCACCTGTCGTCTGGCCTAGGGCGCATGCCTAGGTGCAAAGGCGAGCGCCTGTCCAATGGTTGTGTGCCTTAGACCAGGCAAGGCGCCCAACCTGGAAAGTGCCTCGCCTCTGTGCCTTGGTGCGTCTAAGGTGCACCTTTTAAAACACTGGGCCAAATTTTGTTTGTTTCCTTGCTATTTAGTGTTACCACCCTACTAGGGGCATTCTTGTAATTTCATTATATTTTAAAGTTAAGTATACAAGTATATATGTTATTGAGGGAAGATGGATATATTTAACTTCTGCCCCTCTCTATTTGACATTCTCTTCTTCTTTCTTTCTCTTAGGGCTGAATACTAACAAGGATGTGTTTCAGGTCCTTGTGTGGTGGTTGTGAAATGAGATTGTACATGGTAGATTTTTGTTGATTCTATAAGATGGCTGCTCCATTGGTTGTCACCAAGGTTAACCTCAGAAACCCCATTGCTCTGCCTTGTAGACTCCTCAATCCCTTGCTGTGGCATTTTCTTGCAGTGAGTCAGGTAATCAGACATACCTACTCGCTGTCACGTAATCATAAAATCTATATATTCTCCAGGCTCCAGCCCTATGATCTGCAAATAATGTTTTTGTATCCTCCTCTCCTACAAATAATGTTTATCTTGACTCAAAATTTTCCCTTCTTTTGTTAAAAATTTGCCCCATATGCCTTTTCATTCCTTAATGATTCTTATATCCTTTTTTTTTTTGAAGAATCAAATAAAACTTCATTAAGAAAATAAAGTACAGCATGAGGTGATATGACATCACCCTAAGCAAGGAGCACCCACAGAAAACCCAAAAAATATCCTAGAAAACCACACCTTGAACACAAGATTACCCAAACAACTCTGATAAAGATCACGAGGTAGACCCAATACAAAGAACCCAAAAAAAGTCTAGAAGCTGCCCCCAATCAAATCAAGCACAAGAACCCTTCCAGATGCCCACATCAGACTTCGTCTGTTAACTCATCCTCTTGATTCGAGAATTCCTCATCCCATTCCTTGTTCCTTTCCAGCTGAGCTTTTTTCTTCATTTTCTCTTCCTCTTTTTTTCTTTCAAATTCTTTGAAGGTCTCCTAGCAAATTCTTCACCACCCCAGAACATCAGATCCAAGCTTTTCCCAATTGTGACCTCTCTATCCACCAATTTTTGTATGTCTACCTTACTTGAAACTTCGTCAACAACATCATTTTCCTGCCTCAACCGTATTGAACCAGATTCAGGGTTGATATCATTCACCTTGTTTTCCTGTTGTTCCTTAGATGAAAGGGAGTAGCCCTTCTAACAACACAAACGGTTTTATCCTTTACCAAAGGTTCATTTATTGACCTTGCAAACCCACCACAGATCCTGATTCACCATCCTTCGTCAGCCCAAATCCACACCCAACCTTCTCAAATTAAACTACAAGCCTGTAAACTAGTTGACTAACCATCCAATCATTGTGTAGTTCTCCTGCATCCATTTCTCATGCGTAGGGTCCATCTCTATAGGTTTCTCCTTACTGCTTGTGAGATACCCTACAAACATAAATTCGTATAGACTGCCCAGGCTAGATAATTGGTTCCATCTAGTTTAATTGTGGTCACTCCAGTCAAAAAGGAATCTACCGGACCAACCTCAAATACCGACATCTGCTTCATTTCACTTCTAGATTGCCCCATTGATCAAACAAAAATCAAAAAATTAGTTTTCAGTCTTTATGGACCTAACTAAGGTCAGTCCAGTACCAAGAGATTCAAAAACTAGGGTTTCACTGCACTTGGTTATCAGGGAGAAAGAGAGAAGAGGTAGCTGCTCCTACCAGAGCTCCCAACCTTCAAATCTCAACCACACACTTCTGGAGATCAAAATAAACCTCCCAAGCCTTGAGCGCCACACCCAATTCTTCTCCTTAACTGTAACTTGAGAACTCCCTAGTTGGCTAGGGTTTTGGGTAGAAAAATAACAGCTTCACTTCTTGGCAATCTTCATTCTTCAGCCAGATTCTAACTCTCCAAACCCTCTACCAACTAGGCAAACAGTCCTCTGATTGATCAGGAACTTATCTCTCCATACACCCTCTACCAACTAGGCAAACAGTCCTCTCATTCTTCGGCCAGATTCGAAGGGTGTATGGGAAAAAAAAGGAAAACAAAAAAGGAGGAAGAACTGCTTTGGTACCAAGATGTAAATCTGTCCTTCAAATCTGATAGAAAAATATTGATTATAGCAGAAAAGAAAGAGAGAGAAAAGAAGATTTCAGTGGAATAGAAGAAGCAGATGGAGAAGAAGAGAGTTTGATGAGTTCCTCTCTCCCTTCACTAATCTTTTATTAATCTGAATTAATTAGGCTATTTACATGTCTGCCCTTAAGTAGGTGGCCAGCTAAGCAATAACTGAAAAGAAATTAAAAAGAAGTTAGCAGGCCCATTAACACAAAATAAATAGAACACTGCTTAAACATAAAACAAATACTAAGGCCCATTCGGCCCAGTCTCTCTACATAATCTTTTTGGCATTCATCAGCTTCTTCTACCACTGATGGGGAAGGTGTCTTCAATTGGGGATACCCAATAATTACCCAAAACCAGTTGCTGCCCTATTGAACTGACAATATTGCCATTTCATTGGATCCACCCCAAAAAATGATACCTGCTTTTTGTTTCTTGTAACTAATCAATCCATTTTGAAAAGCCTGTTTTTACTTCCTAAAAATTTAGATTCACCAACACATATCACATACTTGTGCTGACTCAAGCACCTTATTCTGAAACACATGGTCCACCTCCATGTGTCTTCTTGCATTTGTTGGCTTTTTTTTTGATCAATAACACCAGCTTCATTAAATTACAAGAAAAGAGGGAATATGGATACAAAAGGGGAGATAAAATATCTTAGCTCCCCAAAAACAGAAAACAAAGGGGAATGCAAAGAGAAAAAATTAAAAACTAGCCCAAAAAACAGACTCCCTATTCACTCCTTGCTTGGCCAACCCATCCGCAAATGAGTTGGCACTCCTCTTCACC